TGATACTTGAGGAGTACCATCAGTGTAAACGAGACCGCAATTTAACAAAAAACCATGCCTGTGGCATCCAATCCATACGAAAAATAAATAGGCTCTCTTACCTGTGTCTTTTATGTTTTTGCCAATCCAGAAACTATTAATAAATAAATAGTAATTTCGGCTTATATTTTTAATGCATTTACAGCAGTCTGATAATACATAGGTAAAAAAAGTCTATAAAATCTTTCTAATATAGCTTTTCTTCAAAAGACCAAAGAAAATATATAAAGCAAAATGAGATGTCACCAAAACAAAAATACAGGTCGAAACAACACAACAACAACAACACCCGACTATCATAAATCATCACAATTAATACAACAAAAATTATCACTAACAGATAATGAAACATCAACCACTTTGAAAAACATAGACAAAACTAATAAAAAACTACTCCAACATAAATACCTTGAAAACTATTTTAATTCACCCTGACTTGTTCTAATTCCATCTAGTTCCGATAGGATAGCTAACTCATTATAAAAATTCAGATAACTACCCGTCAAACATCGGTAAACAGTTCTTGTTGAGATGAATAGTCTCAACTTTGAGCGTTAGTTACAACGTAACACACACAGAAACATACAAAGACAAGATACGATAATTAGTGGACGAACCATCATGCAGTCAAGCAAAATGACAAGAAAAAAAAGTAAAACTAAAAATTAGTAAATAAATGAACAAAACACACATTGGTCTAGAAGATTCTGGATGACTTAGTTGCGAATAATCAAACTATAAAAGCTTTGGTATTTTACAAGCGTTGTGAAACGACATTGGAATAAATTTACGAAACAAAAAAAAATCTGAAGTACTCTTTTTCAAAACCTGTAAAGTAATAAATCGTTTAAAACAATCCTATGAGGACTCCACGCTCCACCCTCAACAGTACCTGCCAAAAACAATTTACGTCACCACTTCCCTGTAGTAATAACTTTCATGTAAAAAACACTAAAAAGTAAAAACCAATTTTTCTCAGCAATACGTCAGGCATTTTTGAAGTATCTTTAGATGTCAAAACTTCTTGTTTTCAAAAAAAAAAA